CTACTTCTGCCTATATTTTTACTGTTAATAATACTTCTTAAGGAAGGTATTTGGTTGAAAAATTTATTGGATGAAATTGGATTCACTGGTAATGATGTTACTGTTTACTCTGATAGTCAATCTGCAATACAGCTTAGTAGGAATCCAGTTTTTCATGATATGACAAAATATATAAATGTTAAATTCCATTTCATAAGAGATATTATAGAAAAGGAAATTATAAAAATTGAGAAGATTTCTACTAAGTGTAATCCAGTAGATATGGGAACAAAAATACTTCATTTATAGAAATTTAGGGATTGTTTAAATCTCCTAAATGTCATTACTAATTAAAATTTTTTGCAGGTACATGAGCAAATGAAACCAAACAATGTGTTAACCTCTAATCCATATGAAACCCGAAGATGTCAAGCAAGGTGGAGATTGTTATTATGTATACTTAACATCTTCAGTTGAAGCCCAATGATGAGGCCCCAAAATTATCAGCCCATTTGTTTGTAATGAGTGTGACCCGATTTGGCCCTTTTATGTGTGCATTCTTGCGTTTATGTTATGCAACTTTGGTTCTATTAAACAACCTGGCTAAGATTGTGACACGTGGTTTTGGCTAAACCGTTGGATGCATGGTGACTCTATATATTCGAGACTCTTCCATTTTGACCTGGATTCGATTCATTCTAGGGTTAGCTCTCGTTAATATTTTCTCTCTGTAGTTGTTCTCTCTTGATGAAAACTTGTGGTTTTTATCTATAATCTTGAGGTTAGATTATCTTGGTGATGTCTAGTATAGATTACAGTTCTGATTTTGATTCTCTTGTTCTTGATAAGCAGAAATCTGGGTTACTTTGTGTGATCTGTAAAAAGGAGAGAAATCGAGAGTTAGGGGCTGAGGGTTTGAGTCGAGTGATTCTTTTGGGTCTCTGATCTGTACTTGATAAACTTTTGTTGGTTTCTAGTGGATTAAAGCGATAACCACTACGGTGGATGCTCAACGGGTGATTAGCCACTCGGTGGTGAACATCTGGGCCTAAGGGCGAAATTTTTTTGTGTTGTGTTGTTCTTGCTATTTTTGGTTATCTTTCGGACTGTTTAATTCCTACACTAGCTTTACATCTTCTCATCCATAGTTTCCAAGTAATTAAACATGGAATCAATCTAAACAAACATCCTACCTGGAAAGATCTTTTTTGCTCTTGCCCACCATAAATTAATTGATTCCCACCAAGGTTGTCTAGCCCTCCAACGAACACCCATCAATAGGGAAACCTTCTTCCATATTTTGTCCGCAAACTCTCCAGAGCTTAGAATGTGAGAAGCAGTTTCCTCATGACCCATAGGGCAACAATCACATTTGGCAGCAAGATTTATACTAACTGCTTTAATTTTTTCATCCACGCTTAAGCTTCCATTCAAGGCTTTCCACATAAGAACTGAAACACGTTTTTGCAAAGCATTATGCCAAACCCAATGAACCCACTGCACAAGTTCGCCTCGAATCCTCACCACTTCCCAAGCAGTTTTCATAGTAAGCAAGCCATGTTTTTGTGGCTTCCAAATTAGTCATCCAGTCCCGCTTCTTCATTTGCAACTTGAGCAATAACTTGACTAGCTAGATTCTCACCTACCAAGTCTCTCGATCTAACCATATCCCACCCACTTTCTAAACAAATATCATTAATTTTTAACTTTGGTTCTACAACCTAAGGTACTTGTGCACATAAAGGACCCCCTCTCTACCCATTTGTCAAACCAAAAAGAGAATGAACCATCTCTTATCTTCCATTGACTAATGACCAATGGGAGGCAATCTCTCACAGACCTCCAATGGCGAGTCGCAATTCGACTTGCATTTGCTATATCCAACATCCCTTGTTTCAAGTATTTTGCTTTGAAAAAGTTTTCCCATAATGAGCCCGAAGACAAAAGTCGCCAAGCAAATTTCATATGTAGAGACGTTGAACATCATCAAATCTTTGTAGCCCAATACCCCCCTCCATCAAAAGCTGACACATTTTCTCCCATGCACACCATTTTTTCCTAGTCTTCCCATTATTCTCCCCACAAAAAAGGATGAAATAATGGAATTTAACTTCCCAAACACAGATTTAAGAATACTCAACACTGATATTAAAGAAAGGGCCATACTCGTAAGGACATGGCGAAGAATTATCTACCGCCCACCTTTTGATAATAACATCTTCCATTCTTAGTATAGTGATGTCAAAAGAGCCGAGCAGCTCGATCGCTCGGCTCGTGAAAAGACGAGCACGAGCCACTCGACCTCATCAAAGACGAGCTCGAGCCGAGCGGCCTGCTCACTAGACGAGCTAAGCCAACTCGGCTCGTGAAATACACGAGTGCTCGTGGGCTCGTGAAAAAAAACAAAGAAAACTAAACAAAAATTTTTAAAAAATAAAAATAAAAACAAACGAGCCACGAGCCGTGGCTCGTTAGTTCACGAGCTCGTGGGCCGAGCCGAGCTCGTCCATGAGCAAACGAGCCACGAGCCGCTCGGCTCGTGAGCTCGTGGCTCGTTTCTCTACGAGCCACGAGTCGAGCCGAGCTCGTGGCCTTAAGGGCCAAGCCGAGCCCAGCTTGGCCCATTGACACCACTATCCATTTGCAATTTTTTTCTGAATCTTCTCGAAAGGGTCTCTACATGTCTAGCACTCAATCTGTCTAGAACCACTGGCACTCCCAAATAAGTCATAGAAAAAATTACCCTCTTAGAAACCAGTCTCTCGTATAATATCACTTTTTGCACCAAAGAGCAGGTTTTAGAGAAAAATATTGCCGACTTATCCTTGTTGATAAGCTATCCAAACCAGTCTTCATATACCTCCAATACCTCCATTAAGCCTTTCAAAGACTTTTTACATGCACATATAACAAGATCATCTGCATACATAAGGTGAGAGACCAAAAGGGGCACCCCGAGGATGAGAAAAACTACCAATACGTCCATCACCAAAACTCTTTTTTAACAACCTTGTTAGAACCTCTTGCACAATGATGAAGACATAAGGAGAAAGTGGATCCTCTTGCCGTAATCCAAATGCAGATTTGGAAAAAAACCTTGAGTAGTACCATTCATCATTGTTGAGTACCAACGGGTTGTTGTGCACTGATAAACCAACCGACAAAATCCTTACGAAAAACCAAAAGCTTGTAGCACATGTCGTAAGAACCGCCAATCCACCCTATCATATGCTTTAGCCATGTCCACATTTCCCTCCCTCGCTTTTTTATTCATAGACTGCACTAATTCTTGAGTCAAAGTGATGTTCTCAAGAATACTTCCACGAGCAATGAAGGCCTTGCTCAGGCGAAATAATTTTTGACATTATAGCTGCCATACAAGTCGCTAAGATTTTGTTGGAAAAAATAAATAAATTGAAGGGTTGACTTTCACATAAATATTGAGTAGAATCCGTTCGTTTATTTTTGAAGATCATAATTGATTTGTGTTCTCCTCCGTAAGAATATCGAAATAATATCTTTACTTGTTAAAAATGAAGCTCGAGTAAATGAAATTTTTGGTAGTAATACTGCTCAGATACTAAGTCAGATAGTCAAAATAGCTTCTACAATCCTCCGACTTCACTAATTTTCCGTTGTATCCTGAAAAACAGACGCTCGAACTAAACTAAACTAAACCTCAAGCATCTACGATGAGGCAGCAAATCTATTTATTGTGTGCATATCGAATCTTTGGAGTCTTTATTATTTCATTTTTATTTTTATTTTTATTTTAAATATAGTATACTACATTTGTTGTTCTATATATATGTTGAATGTGATGATCATCGTAATGTTGTTGCAATTGATACGTTTGTTGTTGAATTGGAAAGTGAGAAATCCTGACTGACGCCACAGCTCCTTTTCTATTGCTACATTGTAGACCCACAGCTGATAGTACAGAATATAAGAAACGTGGTCTTAGAAGCGTCATTGCCTTCTTCCATTCAGTATACAAGAAACATCCTGAAATTGGCTTCTCCTAAACCCATTTCAACATTACTCTGCCGTTCATACAAGTCCTCAAACATACATTTTAGTGCTTCCGTGACGCCTTGAGGTTAAACTCATTTTTTATAAGATTTGCTCTCAGAAGCATGGCTCGTACTTCCCGATCAAATTCACTGCCAGTCTGCAAGACCCGCTGGAATGTAGCATTCCTCTGATCCGCATGTCGAGCATAAAGAATTTTGTTATGTGAGTCTATTCGAGCCTGCAAGAAAATGCCATATAATCATGAAACCCCCATTTTTTAAAACTCATTATCAACCACACATTTCATTAGTTTTTACCAAAATATACTATAAATATGATTTTTAGCTAAAGTAGAGTAGCAGACAAGGGCTAAATATTTACCTCATTAACAAAAGAAGACCATGTTGAACCACTACATCTAAAAGCTTAAGCCAATAAAGTGGGGTTTCTTTTAGTTTAGTCTGCCACATACATGTGGGAGTGATTCATTTTCATAAACGCCACCTAGAACATGCACAATTTTCATAAATGCATGTATGGCACAAGATTTAACTCAGACCACTACCTATTTTGATGTGACGTTGAACCTCTTTATTTTAAAGTTAGACGACCAGACAAGATTGGAGACCAAGTGTCGACTGAGATTGAGCCCAAAAAGTACCTGTATTTGATTGTTAGTAATCAGAGCTTCGAGCTCCTTCTCCAGGCTTGCAACACTCGTGTTGAAAGCATTCGCCATCATGTGCAGATCAACAGAGACAAATGGGTGTGTGTACTGGATGAGAGCTTTGTTACGAATTTGTTCATACAAGGTCTCCACGTGGTCATGCAAATGGATGTCGAGCAATAAATTTGCTTTAAGGTTTCCTAGGTATTCCAGACAGGAAGCATAATGGCTGCAAAACAATCATAAAATGAACAAGTTAGAATGTCAAACAGTCGAAGAGGAACTCCTGACACCAACGAAATATGCCAATCTAAAGGAGGTTTTTATTTCAATATATATATATATATATGGAATATTCAACAGGCATACATTGCCAATAAATCAAATAGATCATCTTTCCTATTTAGCTCTTATCTCTCCTTCTATTTTGGGAGGAGGGAAGGGTGTTTATACATCAGAAGACTTAAGCCAGATCTTGGTAGAATGACACCCAAAAAGTCTTCTCCTACACTACACATCAATTCAATGGGGGAGAATAACAGAAATAACATTCCTAATTGAGATAGTTAACCCAAGCTAGTCGGAAAAAAAACTCTGGTTTTGCTAGTGCCCATGGATTGAGGCTGGCTCCTTTTCATGAAACAAAATTGCATTACCTGGTGTAGAAATCATTAATGAGTTCCCTTATTTCAGGTACCAACTCCAAGAAATTTCTGAAGTTAATGCTGTCTATGACTTTGCTCTGAGAAAAAGAAAAAAAAATCCAGTTCAATTGCTTAGTAGTTTTAAAATTGCCAAAATTTGAGGCACAATCAGAATACCAGTAAATAAAAGTTTGGTACAGTAACTTACCTTCAATTCTGCACGGTCAAAACTTGCAAGTGCACAAAGACCACCATAAGTTGCAACATCTTGGGGTGCAATTACTTCTGTGTAGTTGTTCCCCAGCTCAGGTCCAGTTTCCAGGAACTGCAAGCACCCATTTTAATGTAACACAACTAAATAAAAACAAGAAACATATATTTCTACATTATTATCTAAGACTTCATCAACTCAATTTAGTCAATCTATAGTTTAAACTACTCCAGTTTCAAATAAAGTTCTTGTGGAAGGAACCCATTATTAGCACCAGTAAGATGCAGCAAATCCTGTTTGTCCTCAAGCAGAAATTCATTGGAACTTCTTTATCCATAAAGAAAATTATCATCTGGTTCGCTATATACGTAACCAAAGTTCATATCATGAGATATTCGCCTATCCCTATCTTATAAACTAAGGAACTCAATATCTTCCGAACAAGAGTTTCCAGAAAGTTTTACTTTCTAAGAAAATGTTTAACTATAGGTATTTTCCAGGTACACAGCAAGTACTAACATATGCCAATAATAAAAAGGGACAAGGTGACGACAAATATCATTTCCATCTTAACCTAACCAATCACCTTGCCATTGGTGAAATGAGTATTAACTTTGAGTGCACCCAGATGAACTGCAGATGGTTCTATCTCTTGGTATCAGATACGAAACATCAAGTTTGTCTTTGACTCCAAATACCCAGCAGGTTTTAAGCCTTCAAGTCATACTAAATGGACTTCCTTTTCATAGATTAATAGAAGTTTTATTTCATTATGTGTTATCTTCCCCTATTTCTCATCCAATAAGCGAGATCACTGGCAACTAAAACCTCAATTCGCATTCAGTCTAATGGCAACTAAAATCTCAATTCGCATTCAGTCTAATGGTAGCAGGCAACACTCATTGCCAGTGAACCATAGTACTCTGAGAACATATTCGTAGCAATAAGATATAATCATAAAAGTGCATTCCTTTAAAAATAAAACGAGAATTCCCAGGACAAGACATTAATATTACAACATAGAGAGTTAGTGAAACAAAACACAGTTTAATCTTTTTTTTTTTTTTTTAAAAGTATATTTTGTAACTCGAAAGCAATTACTGTACTAGGTCTGATATTTTCTCAACTTGGAAAGATCCTCAAATCATTTGCAGCCAAATGAAATTTTTTTCTCCCCTCAAATGATATCAGAGTAAATTGATCAAACCAAAGAGTTTTTTCTACACATAAATTTAGGATTCTGATAAGACACAGAATTTCTTAGGTGAAACTCTCTTTCGAGAGAGTACAGGTAAGAAGAGACAGTACACTGCACATACGCTATAATGTTGCAGTCGTACCACACGATAAAAGTGGCGAGTGTAAGTTTGTTAATCTCTCTTTAGAAGGAAGAAAAAAAGGGCATACAGCATACTGTGTTTTCTTCTTTTTCAACAGGAAAATAACCTGCTCCATCTTGCCCAACAAAAGCCACACTTCTCACCCCAATACCACAAGAATACATAAAAAGTACAAAGGAGGACATAGGAGGCAGGATAACCTTTTCTTTCTTTTTTTTTTTTTGACACTCAACCTTTTAGGCTGCAATTGACACACAAGTAATGTAACATTTGTCATTTGTAACTCTTATAAGTCTGTCAAATTACAAGCTTGGATATCATCTCCAGAATAATACTCTAAATTTTTGTTCGACGGAAAATGTAAAATAACATGGCATGAGTACTAAAAACAATCATAATCTACAATACTGAAAAAGAAGATTCAATTGGCAAACCTTCCGAGCTGCAAGCTTGTACTTCTTGCCTTCTAGGAGAGCCAATCCAGCAGCACAACGTAATTTTTCTATTATAACGGGATCCAAGGCATCCTGACTTTGCTCAGCCTTACTAACATAGCTTGTAACATGAGTGAACTGACCCATCTCTATGCTAACCAAAATTGCATTCATACACATGTGAACAATATGCTTTGATGTCGTGCAATAATCACGGGTTCGGACGAAATTCTTAAATGCATCTCCAAGCTGACCATGTGCAAAGTAAAAATCTCCAAAATCATTGTATCCCATTCGAATGCTCTCTTTTATCAAATTTGTCTGTGTGAAAAGAGAGGAAATGAATAGGCTGGAAAACTGTCACATCCTGGTTGTCTTCAAACATAATTGAAAGGTCCAAAAATGACAAGAATTGTAACCATTGTCTCAACGAGTAAATTCATCATGCAATATAAGAAATTGATGCATGACCAATAAAAATAGTTGACCACATGTTCATATCTACTTGCCCTGTTCTGTGACCAGAACTTGATAGACTGAGTTCCTGTTTTCAACATGAAAAACAACATACAGAAACCTCGCGGTCACAGTAAGTGAAAGTCCATTGTACTAAACAAACTACCAATAGAACAACAACTTGTATGAATGAGAAGCAATTGCTGAAAAAAAATGCTAATAAATTATGGAATACGACGAACCAGCAAAAAAATTATTTTTTCTCCGACAGAATATTTTAATTTCTTTTCTGCTTCAGATAAGCAACAAAGCCACTATTAGTATCAGCGATTTATGAAAATCATACATCACAAAGATCCAACAATTCTATTGAAAAACTATGTTGATTTTATCAAGCCAAACAGAATCAAACAATCAGATAAAAGCAGGAAATGTTTTATTTCCACATTTGAGAGTCTCACATATACTTTGAAGAACTATCTAATTTGAAAAAATGACAAAGCAAAAAGCTAATTAGTATACCAATGTCAATAGTAAATAACCATATGATGCTCACTCTTAACAGTGACAAAAAAACTGCAATCTCAATATTTTCTAACTCTATCTACTACTCACAATAGAATTGAGTTAATGAGCTTCCCAAATGCACTCCATAATTGCAAACAAAAAACCAAATACATAAATATGTTTCCAAATATTTAATACACATGAATATAGACAGAAAAAGTAGGACGAATAAAGCACAGCGCAGCATGAAAATACAATAAAGATATCCGTGCAACTGTGTTAATGTAGTTTAGTAATAATTACTATACCCTGTAAGCATTAAGCTCGTTCTCGAGCTTCTCCTTCCTAAACTCGGCCCGCCTGTCCACAACATCAGCCCAAGCACTATCCGGCCCATAATTGGGACCCAAACGCCCATCAATCTTCTCCACAACCTCTCTCAACAGCTGCGTGTTCTCCCCCTTCTTAATCTCGTCGTAAGCCATCCTCAGGGCATCTAACTGCATCGAAGCGTTGCCGCATTTCTCCGCGATGAACATAAGCCGACTGATCTTCGTGCGTCCGGTGTACAGCGCAGCGTACGCCTCGATATCCAGTTGCTCGCCACTTATGATTGGTCTGTGACGCTTCGAATCGTCACCATCTTCTCCACCGTTAACGTAGATCTCCTCATCCTCGATCATCTGTCCAGTGGCATCATCCTCCGCATCCATTTCGTGATCTGTTAACACCCAAACGATGTACTGCTATCGAGGGTTTTCGGTTCTCACACTCTCCGGATTTCAGTGTTCTGTGTTCTACGAGTGTCGAAAGTGAGAGAGCAATAGACGTGGGCTTCGCACGTGTAAGATTC